TTCCTGGAACTAATTCTATAGACCAGGCTGGCCTCGAACTCACAGAGATCCGCCTGGCTCTGCCTCCCGAGTGCTGGGGTTAAAGGCGTGCGCCACCGCCCAGCAAGTTATCCCATTTTATAGACAAGAAAATGGAGACTCAAGGGTTGAGTCATTTGTCCATCATAGTGAGGCAAAGTTGGAACTGGGGGCCAGACTGGCTGGCTACAGAGAACACACTGGTTCTCATTTAGTTGGCAGGAGAGCTCGTCTGGTGAGAAGGGGGGGGGCGCTGTAGCGAATATTCCGTGGTCCCTCTGCCTTTGGGGGTTCATCCTTGAAAAAACTGAAAAGTCTTAATATATCAGCAAACAGGTCAATAATAATGACGCACAGCCTCCTTTATAACCACAGTGATCGTCTGTTCACCTGGTTGTCCTTCATAGTGGACTACTACCTTTGCAGAATTGGCCACTGTCACCAGGCTGGGTGGCACAACCTATAATCCTAGCACTCAAGAGGTTAAGGCAAAACAATCATGAGTTCAAGGCCAGCCTGGCCTACACAGTGAGTTCCAGGCCAGCCTGGTCTACGTACTGAGACCTTGCCTCCAAAAAGACCCAGCAATGAGACCTGACCCACTGCCCCAGCTGTACCAGTTAAGTAGCCTCACGCCATTGGTCCCTCCGTCCCCTGCAGATGTCATGGCACCCCCAGTACCGCAGCTCCAAGTTCCGGCATGTCTACGGCAAGCCCGCCAGCAAAGAGAACTGCTACGACTCGGTGCCCATCACACGCAGCGTCCATGACAACCACTTCTGTGCCGTGAACCCCCATTTCATCGCTGTGGTCACTGAATGCGCCGGCGGGGGGGCCTTCCTCGTCATCCCCTTGCACCAGGTAAGGACCCTAGTGATCACAGGGCCCAGACCCATCTCTAGAGGCCGGCAGGACAGATGGAAAAGGTAGGGAGCCCGGTCCGGATGTGACTGAAGGCCTGGCCTGCTTTCCTAGTGTGTGAGTGAGCCTCTGACAGCCAGGTCTGTGACTCTTCGTCTCCTTCTTGGGAAAAATCATCATCCTGAGAGTTGACCGTCCAGCAGCTGGCCTGGCCACTTCTAGGACCTTCTCTCCTCCATGTGGAACAGTGCTCACTCCACGTTTTTCTTTCTTGAATGAAATATAATTATTAGCACATTGCTGGGCTTGTGTGAAATTGGGGAAATTGCCAAAGCCGCCTCCCCTTGCTGAGAGGTGGGGATGGGAGGCACAGAAACATGTGTTGGGCTAGCTCCTGCGCTGGAGAGGTAAACATCAGGCAGCAGGGAGAACACTTATAGAGTCAGCCGTGGAGCATGAGCCATCGTTACTGAGTGTTTGGATCTGCAGAGGGGCAGCTTCAGATAGATCACCCTAATAGCAGATCTCTTCGGGACACCGGTGCTGAGCCTGCCTTCGAAGACCTCCTAAAGAGGCCTGGGAGAGAGGGGGACTCCCAGGCTGTGCTCCTACCTCACGGCAGAAGAGGCTGGGAAGCCAGACCTCAGGAAAGCGGCCCACAGACTTAGATCAGGCAACTGGAAAGTCACAAAGACTGGTGAGCACGAGTCTGCGAGAAGGTAAGAAACAGACCTAGACCACTGGCGGACCTGCGCAGTCCAAGCCCCGAGTGAGATGAGTTCAGAGATAGCTTTCCTCGTCACGGTGTGGTGAGTTTAGAACCGGTGACAGTAGACAAGTTAATGATGTGTCCGTCCCCACTCATTTGGAATGTTTGCTTGCCTGCTTCTTTGTGACCCCATCTCGTGTAGCCCAGCTCTTGAACTCTGTGTAGCCAAGGTTGGCCTTGACATCATCATCCTCAGTTCACCTCCCGAGTGCGAGTTACAGGTGTGTGTCACATTTCCAAATAATTTATAAGCCAAAGGGGGAGTCAAATGGAAAATTTTTGTTATTGTTTATGTATTTATGTAGTGTGCATGCATTCTTCCGTGTGTGCGTGCATGCCGCAGCACCAACGTGGAAGTCAAAGGGCGGCTTCCAGGAGTCAGTTCTCACCCTCAACTTGTTGAGGTGGGGGTCTCCATTATTGTGCAGCTTACTCCAGGCTAGCTGGCCCTCCAGCTTCTAGCTGATTCTCCCGTCTTCTTCTTCCATCTCCTAGGATACAGACGAGCACCACCACATCCAGCTTTTCTTTGTTTGTTTGTTTGGGTGGGGCTGTTTGTTTGTTTGTTTGCTTCATTTTTCAGTTTTTTTTAGACAGGGTCTCACTAAGTTGTCTTGGTAGCCTTGGGATCGCCTGGTACTTGCTAGGTAGACCAAGCTGACCCCAGTCACGGAGATCTGCCTGCCTGTGCTTCTCCAGTGCTGGGACTAAAGTCGTGGGCCGTCACACCCGACACGTTAGCCTTTGTTTTCTGGAGACAGGTATTCCTTCTGTAGCCTTGGCTGTCCTACCTCTGTAGCCCAGGCTGGCCTCAAACTCAGAGATCCGCCTGCCTCTGCCTCCTGAGTGCTGGGAGTAAAGGCATGCGCCGCTGCCACCACCACCTGGCCACATTAGCTTGTTACGTGGGTTCTGGGAATTGAACTCAGGTTGTCAGGTTTGTACAGCCTGAAGCATCTGGGCCCTTTGTCGTCCTACCTGGATTGGGTTGTTGTAGTTTCCCATTGACTTTAATCACAGGACATGGTAACACCAAGAGATGCCCTAGAGGGTCCCCCTGACTGGCTGGGCCACAGCCGGTAAGCTAGTCTAACAAACCCCTTTGTGTGTATATATACACTCGATGAGTTCTGTTCCTCTAGAGAACCCTGATACATGCAGGAAGTGCATTTACCCGCCGAGCCGTCTCCTGGCCCCAATTTCTTTTTCTTTTTCTTTTTTTTAATAGTGCTAGAGATCAAACTTTCTATGTGCTACATAAGTGCTCAGCCCCTGAACTGCCTCCCCGGTGAAATGCAAATTTAAAATACTTGGAACTGAGTGATAATCAGATGTATCTAAAAACCCCTGGTATCCAGGGGACTGATCCAGCCGGGGAGGCACAACACTGGTGCTTCCTTCCATAAGAGAAGGAGAGGGCTGAAGTTAGTGAGGAAACAGTCAGCCTAAGAGCTGGGGGGAGGGGGAGGGGGTGGGGATTAACAAATAGAACAAACTCAAAGAAAGCTCAGGAAAAGAAAAAAAAATGATGATAAAAGGCAGAAATCAGAGCAGGGGAGAGCCGTTAAGAGCCCATGCTGCCATTCCAGAGGACGCAAGTTTGATTCTCAGCATCCACTTCTGGCAACTCACAGTGCCTATAGCCAGTCCCCACAAGTAGCTGTGCAAACACACACACACACACACACACACACACACACACACACAGTTAAAAAAAAAAGTAGAAATCAAGGAGTGATAACTCAAAGATGCATTAGAAAATATTTAAAAAAAAAAAAAAAAAACACAACCCTGAAAGATAAACTGAGCAGCCACTGGAAAAACTGACTGACAGTGAGGGAGACCATCCAGAGGCACCGGGAGGGCAGAGGCAGTTCACCCAGCAGCAGAGCTGTGAAGCCAGGAGGACCCTGACGTGATCAAGTGGAGGGCAGTCATCTGGAAGTGTGGGTGAAATGGGCAGACTCCTGGCATTCCTGATTCAAGTAGGAATCAAAAGCCTGGACGACCCTGTAACCATTAACAATGAGCGATAAACACTTCCCTCAAAGAAATAATAGAAAGAGACGGTAAATTGTGAAATAGAAAAAAGATGTTTGCTTTAAATGTATGTGTGTCTGTCTGCCTGCCTGTCTGTCTGTGCACGTGGAAACCAGAGGCTCAGTCCCTGGACCTGGAGTTGTAGTTGTTTGCTGCCTGATTCGGGTGCTGCAAACCAAGCTCTTGGGTCCTCTCCGAGGGTGGTCTTCACACTTAACCACTGAGCCATCTCTCAAACACCACCCCTCCCCCCTCTGGAGACAAGGTCTGACTCTGCAGCCTAGGCTGGCCTCAGAATGGTGGCGGTCATCCTGCCTCTGCCTCCTGAGGGCTGGGACTGCAGGTGTGAGCTGCCACACCCCGCTGAGGATGTGGCTCTGTTGGCAGAGTTCGAGCTAAGAGCTAACGCGCATGAAGCCGGGAGGGAGCTCCATTCCAGTGCTGCATAAACCCTGCGTCATCGTACACACCTGTGATCCCAGCACTCGGAAGTGAGGTTACCAGGGTAGACGTAGATCATCCTCGGCTACACAAGGAGATTCAGGCCAGCCTGGGCTGCACGAGACCTTTTTAAAACAAAACAAAACAAAACAAAACAAAACAAAAAAGCCCAGAAGAAAGAGTAAGCAATCGCGTGAGTGTGGGAGCATTGTTCATATTATTACCAAGTGGAAAAACCCCCTGTATCGGTAGATAACTTACGGTCCACAGTACCCACCATACATAGCTGCCTACATCACAATCTCGAGTTGAAATGACAAAGTTCAGACTCTGTCATTCCATTCCCCTGAAATTAAAAACAGTTGTACTATAAGGACTGAATAATTAAGTGGTAAATTTCCAAAGAAAAACAAGTTATAGAATACCGTGAAAACCTAGACACTACTTCCCTCCTGCGGCAGGGAGTGACTGTGAAGTCAGGCACGTCACTCTGGTGACGGCTCCTGTCGTGACCTGGGAGGCCGAGTCGTGTTTATTGATTTATTGCCCAAATGTTCATGCGACTGAACATTTCAAGTCCATGCACTCTCGGGCATGTTTGTTGTATTTTACATATATAAATACACATAAGAACAATGCCAGGGTACTGGCTGCTCTTCCAGAGGACCCAGGTTCAATTCCAGCACCCACATGGCCGCTCACAACTGCCTGTAACTCTAGTTCTAGGGGATCACACAGACAGACATGCAGAAAAAAACACAATGCACATAAAAATAAATAATTTTTAAAGAGAGAGAGAAAAGAAAATGAGACAACCAATTAAAAAAAAAAAAAAAGTCCAGCTGGGCGGTGGTGGCGCACACCTTTAATCCCAGCACTCGGGAGGCAGAGCCAGGTGGATCTCTGTGAATTCGAGGCCAGCCTGGGCTACAGAGTGAGTTCCAAGAAAGGCGCAAAGCTATACAGAGAAACCCTGTC